TCCCTCGCTGCCGCCGACGATCTCGTGGTTAGGACCCATCGATCAGAGAGAGCGGAGAAGGCTTCACTAGAGTGAAGTGAGGAGAGTGATGGTGAGTGATGGTGATGAGAGAATGGAGCTAGGGTGGGTGGGTATTTGAAGGTGTTGGAAAAAGGTTGAGCAGGTGACAAGTGAGGGGGGGTTTGGGGTGACACGTGAGGGTGGTGGTGGGGGTATGGAGGTGCACGTTTTTTAGGCTGGCGCGCTCCCTCGCTGTGCCTCTCCCTTTTCCCCTGTGTTTCTGTGGGAAATGGGGGGGTTTGGTCATTCGTAAGGAGACGAGGGATATTCAGCAGGTGGTTTGAGGGCCTTGGAGTTTAGTTGGGCGAGTCCAAGAGGGTTTTAGTTTGTTTGCGTAGAAGGTCCTACATGTGGGACCCATGCACCATACCGGCGGCACTGAGAAAATGGGAGTGCCAGCAGAGAGTATATTCGTTTGCGAGCGGTTTATTCTGAGTCATTCGGGAGGGTCATTTACGTGCGGTTAGAAATGATATCACGTGACATTTTCGACGGTTGATGTTAGTCTCTCCGTATAGGAATTGCTCCGATAGAATTTGTGTTATTTATCATCGATTCTTCAACTGCATGTGTTAGATTTTTCTTAATGTCGTATTTCACGTCCATCTGTCAATGATTTCTTTCTAGGCCCCCGCCGCTTAATAATATTTCCATAAGAGACCTAAATTTTAAGAAAACCCTAATTCTGTGTCTTGTCTCCTGTTTGCCCCTTCTCTCTAGCTATTTGTTACAACATGTACATTTGTATTTGTTACAGAATTTGGACATCCAGGTAATTACTTTTGTTCTTTTCCGTCACTTTTATTTTAATGGATGAGAGCTAAGCAATTTGCTTATGGTAATTTAGTAGTTAATTTATGAGGTAAGTAACCATGAATCTCTTTTTTTTTCCTGCATCTTGTTATCTTTTCTCCCCTTAATTCCTCTTTTCCGTTGGTTTCTTCTTTTAACCGCCATTTTTCCTCTCCGTATCTTTTCTCCATCTTCCCCCCCTCCGTCATTTCTTTTATCCCTCTTTTTCCCCTTTCTGTATCTTGTTTTTTCCCCGTATTTTTCTTGTCTTTATATCTCCTTTTACCTGTTTGTTTTCCTGTCCGTCTTTTCTTTTATCCGTCTTTTCCCCCTCCATCTCTTCTTTTTTTCTAGCATTTCCCTCTTTTATTATCTCCTTTTTTCTCTCTATTTTTGGTAGTTTTTCTCATTTGTGTTCAACTTTAATTGTATATTTTTAGATTATGATTTTTCTCCATTGTCATATTGAATAGTCAATAGTCTTTTTGCAATCGTTCTGATAAAAATTATCATCATGAGGGACTTTTCTGACACGTGTGAAACTTTGCTTAGTATCATATTTTCACATCCATCAATCGATAATTATCTCCCGGGTCGGGTCCCGGCCGCTTAATAATATTTTAGGAAAAATGTGTCCAGACTTTAAAAGTAGAAACTTTATGTGACGAGGCTCATTGTACTCTACCACATGTGGATAATCCTCAAATACACACAGTATTTGTCACGAGGTCTCAAATACACACTGTTTTTCAAAAAAAATCTAGTGGAAGTTACGAACTTGCCTCTTTGATGTGACTGAACTCGGTTACAGCGCCCCCTCCCTATTCAAGTACCCTCTTCCTCTTCCCCCTCTCTTCCACCGCTGAGGAGCCACCGAAACTCTTGAAATTTCAATTTTCTCGTCGGATTTCAACAGTCCTTGGGTTTTCGCCAAAAAAATGCCATCAAGGAAAGCAGAATCTGTTAACGACTACAAAGTCGTTCATCGCGGTTCATCTGGGCTTAGCAGCGCAGAAGAAGCCACTCAAACCCTTATGCAAATGCAAAGGCAGACAATAGAATGGCGAGACCGGAAAAGAAGAACGGTAAGGGATGGCCGTACCAACGAACCCTCCCTAAAAAAGCAGTAAGTGCTATGTTATCCAGGATTTGAGGACTCAACCTAATTTCCCCTAATTTCAGTTCATCTTAAACAATGTTAGGGTTCATTCTAGTTTATCAGTCGACTGATACTGTTTATCAGTCGACTGATACTGTTTATAATTGAGAAGTGTTTATCAGTCGACTGATACTGTTTATAATTGAGAAGTGTTTATCAGTCGACTGATACTGTTTATCAGTCGACTGATACTGACGGCATGACACTAGTGTGTGTAAGTTCCATGTTTTATTTACTTTGGTTCATTCTAGTTCTAATTTATGTCATGTTAGTTCTAACTTATGTCATGTTAGTTCTAGTTTACACCATGTTAGTTCTAATTTACACCATGTTAGTTTTAGTTTACACCATGTT